AGACGTATACATCTATGCGTTGACTGCAACTCAAATGTTTCGGGGACAACCTAGCTGACTTGACTGAAACAGCCCCCATCAATACCGCATCAGTGGTTTGTTCTACCTAAGAAGAAATCTACGCCAATGATTATTAATTTTTAAATAATGCAATGCTTGCAACAGTGAAACTGACAGTTCGACTTGGTCCGTTTGAGACTCCGGGTTATTTGGTACACAAGAATCTGTATGTATATATAATCGAATATTATATACACTCGTCACAATAATCTCATTTGGAACATCGGATAAATTTCTTTGGACAGCTCTTTCAGACCCAGTCCAGTGAAGAATCAATACTATGATTTGACATGTTTTTCTTTAGGTCGTGTTTGTTGCCGTCAGCAGCACCTATTCCGATGTGTATGAGGAATACCCGGCCTGCGGAGGGGAATAAAAAATTAGTCGGTATTGCTCAAGATTTTATTGAGAATTCTTTGACACTTTAGTGCTATTACATATATTCAAATGTTTAAAAAATCTCCAAATTGCTTTAGTATTGCATGGGAGAAACCAAATACCAAATATGCGTAAATACGGCACAGCCACTCAATTTATTAATGATACTAAAAACCCTTTTTACTACTACTACTTCTATCACTACTACGACTACTACTACTAATAATAATAATAATGATAATAATAATAATATAATGATTGTAATCACTTTAATTCTCAATATTTGTATTGTTACTGGTTAAGGATTGAATTCTTCATTTGCGTTTCGTAGAACCAGCCCTTAGACCTCAAATTTAATTTGCGAGAACCGCTTGATTACACTTTTTTGATCGAGTATTATGTGACGAATAACGGCAGAAGTGAACCCCACTAGTCAGGCCTATCAAACTATTCACTCCAAAGAACTGTCAACCCTCAAGCTCCTGAGCTGGAAATGACAAACCACATAAGGTCCCGTTTGAACAGATGTGGTACTAAGTGTTAGAGGCATTCGCCGTGATTGCAGTTGGCACCGTGTAGTGAGTGCTATCTTTCTTGTCGTCCTTATAGCGGATAAGGCGATCGTGTTTGGCATTCGTTTTCATTGCTGTGGCTACCTACTGACTTTAAGTAGAATGAACTACGTAAAACCTTTCGCTTTTCCACGGAGGTCATGCATTTTCAACAGGGTGGAAGAGGTGTGCATAACAAACACATAATACTAACACGAGGTAAATCTGTGAAACAGTTATTTTCGTTGTTGAGACGATCAACATCCACATTCACCCTTTGATTCTTTTGAAATCGCATGATGACGACATCAAATATACCATTCGTATTATGGTATTTTATTTATTTATTTATTTTAAAGCTAAGAAAGAAAAATCTTTCTGTCGCAACATTCTCGAAGACTCAGGACTTACAGTGCAATTGGTGAGATCACTCACCGAACGTACATTCGGTGAGGAAGGTCTCCGTAGTTTAAGAAAAGTAAACAATGAGTTCAACGAATGCCAAAGTGGGAGATGATTTTTTATTATACGTAGATTAGAATACCTAAAACAGATTTTACTAGTAAAATCATGTCTGCGATAATTAAGTTTTGAGGATTTGCAATTTGCTTAGGCTTTGGTAAACAAAAATTGAAGTTTGTTCTGAATATTTTACGCACAGATCTTTTCAATTCATTCCAATATGTTCAAGACATACTGGAGCTTCTAATCTGTGAACAACATGAAGTATTTACACGAATCGGTCGGTTTTGTGTGAATCGGATATTGCTGCACACTCGTGTGCTCGTAGTATCTTGTGCCCTCATCTCGCACGACGGGAATAATTTAACAAAATGGGAACATGCATAGCATATGAAACTTATCGTTTGTGTGCTTTTTCCACCCTGGATTTGGATGAGGTGTTAAAACATTTTTGAACTGTAGTAATTAATACCAAACCCTCCTGGGTCCTATACCAAATGATAATTTACAAGCAATTGTTGAGTGTAACACGAGATTTGATTCTATCACATTCATACACACACACACACAGGTGTGCACATGAAACTCATGATTTTTGACTGACCCAGTTGGCAGACAAACGACTACGTGGCTGATTGAAACGGTTACAGCGGAAAAAAGGACTATCGGAGAATCTCAATCACTCCGATTGGCCGGCACAATCAAATCCACCTTCTATTGCAAACGCTAACGTTTTGGGTTTAAAGATTCCCAAGGTTAGAAGATTTCAAAGAATATACATCAATTTAATGAACAGGCGGGTGGATGGGATGAATTTATAACCCCCAGGGCCAGTTGTTTGGTTTAACGAACACTGATAGCTTAATCTCTAGGACTCGGAACGGTGAAGGCGATGACGCCGGAAGAGAAAACGTGATGGAGTCAAGATGTTGCCTTTCTTACTTGCAGAATCAACCTGTGTGTGTGTGAAAACGTGAAAATACCTTCTCATGAGCATTCAAATGCTATCACAATGACATATTTATGGTATACGAACGGCATGTGTCCGTAGGAATTTTTTGTCATTGTCTCTAATGCGTTTGGTTCTTATCATTCCAGTGAAAATTGTATAGATTTTGTGATGAGAATGAACTCATATTCATCAAATTGAAACGGGGATGGCTGGTTTCGAATCTGGGAACGAACGGTAGTCTTTCGTTCAGTATAGAACTGTCAAAACCAAAAAGCTCGTCAGCGAGGAACGATTACCCCCCCCCCCCAAAAAAAAAGACAAACAGGAAAAACACTGTTCAAAATGAAAATCAACCAAAACCCTCACACTCCCGGGATTGAATTATTGCTCTAAATAGTGCAACTTATGAGCTGGCGTAGGAAGTCTAGATTTAAACAAAATGCGCACAAAACATTTCGCTGTATAGGCTAGTCTTAGCTTACAAACTTATAAGCTGGAATAAGCTTGAAGTACTTTTGTGTGGAATACTTTACACACGCCGTGACCATAAGTTAAATTGGTCTACGGAGCGGGTCACAAACTCCATAAAATCGTATCCGACATACTGACCGATTCGGTAGGCATGACTCAGTATTTGACAAATCGTTAACACACGTGTCCGATATCTGGGTCACGAAACAGACATTGGTCTGCATCACATGATCACACAGTGCATGCAGTGCGCCAACAGTTCCCAGACGGTCTATTAAATTTTGTGCAAGTTAGAACTTTTATTATATCAGACCATCATCCTCACTGTATAAAATATTGTGTCCGGATGTGTTTCAATCGACTTTGATTCAACTTCAACTGGTAATTAAATTTTGTCACTTGGGTGACTATATTCCTTTTTATTGTTTCCAATTCATAAGTATTTGTGAGTAATTGTGTAGAAAAAGTATTAGCTATGATGAATGATTATCCTGGAGATTTTCAGTTTATCCCATTAAATCACACCAGACTCCAGTTTCCCACCCGCTAGAGCTTACCAGTAGTGCGTATCCACCTTGCGGGATTCGAGCCCCGCATCCTTCACATGGAGGATGCATGTGTTACCATTACGCCATCAAGATCGTACATGAGGTGACCGGGATTGTCCATTCCAGTTTGTTCCGAATACGTCTTCAATAATAGTCAGTCAGTCCGGGTGTGATCTAGTCGGCACACAGATATCACATGTGTCTTCCATGCTCTGGAACTATGAAAAGGAAGAAGCAGAATGGCACAGTTAACTGGTAAACATTTCGATGTATTTTCGTTGACTACAGGCGGTATAACGTCTTTGCCAGAGAACTAGCCGTCAAATCCGGTGATACTAAAAAACAAAAGCCTGCATTTTTCCTCGACGACGACGACGACGACACTGATTAATTTTCATGGGAAAGAAGCGGAAAAGAAGTACAGAAGATGAAACGAGGAAAATGATCAAAAATCAATAAAAAAATCCGAATGCATTCTTCTCACTCAAACTATCAGTTCTTGGTGGAGCCGAACAAATCCCTCAGGTCTCGGACTAAGTCACTATGTCATTTTAATCCATCCGAGAGCCACCTATTTTTCCAATACACCTTCTGGTTGTGAATGTTATCAATCAGTCAATTATTTCCCATCTGCCTTTCGTACACTTCCTATACAAAAAAAATCCTTTTTAGAGTATGATCATTGGGCTTGCCACTGATTCCGTTTTCATTCACTGCTCTCCTCGAGATGGTCAACCGATGAATGTCTCGAGCACCCCCAACTCCATCGGTTCCCATTGCTTGCAGTCAGCCTATCAGTGACCGCGCTCACACACTAAAAAAACAAGAGCAATGACACCACCACCACCACGACCACCACCAACAATCACAGTCTTAAAAGAGGATTACATATTGTTTTGCTAAAATTGTCTATGACGTTGAACTTCGGAGCTGATCAGAAAGGCGAATAGCTTAGCACAAATACCGCTTTTCAGCAGCCGTACAAACCATCAACCAATGTTGGGCAAAACCATCATGTCCTTTTGACATTTTGGAGCGAAACAGATGCGCGGTACGTACGAACTGCCTACACGTTCACCTGGTCGGCGAATTCGATACAGATTTGTGAAAATGATACCCCAGATCTCGGTCGCCGTCAAAACCCCGTTCTGATAAATTGAAACCGAGGTCAAATTTGACGCATTTTTTCGAGGGGGGGGGGCACTGAGCGTGGTCAGAATAGGATTCCTTGTTTTTATTGTTCAAACAGGCTTGTCATTCCATAGCCCAAAAAGGAGAGAGCGAGGGAGAATTTTGTACTACACATGGAAAGGTGATTGCCATGGGAAATAAATCTTCACCTCATAATCTCATTGTGTGTGCGCGTGTGTGTGCCGGTATGAAGTCATTCGGTATTGTAATCAAACCAGATTCCACTCATGCTGTTATTCTCGTGGCCTCGTCGAACTTGTCCGGATTCAGACAACCTGATTTCGAATAGCCTGAATCGGGAAATTGGCCTTTTACACGAGCTGTGAATAACTGTGATAGAACCGGACGTAGACTTTAAACTATAGATTACTGGGTCACGTGACACACATTTTAGTGGGCTGCACAGAACCACAACAGTTTGTTATTTACATGCCAACAGAGGTTGAACTTTTCCCATCAGTCGATCCCTCTATTCCGTAAGAAAGTAAACATGACGTGAATAAAAGTTTTGCTTTCCCGAGTTGCTGTTGATGATTATGATGGTGGTAATTAGCTTTTGTTTGATATCAACGTGTTTATGTCCCGTTTAACACCGCATAAACGATTGTGTAAGGAGCATCTTCGGGGCAAATGATACAAACGAGACGTCGCGTGCTTTGCTTTCAAGTATAAACAAAATCCTATTGCGGTGAAACTTGCAACTCGGTATTGCGGTGACGCCCTACGGTCTGAACCTCACGTGGCAATCGTAGCTCGTAGCTGCTGAGGCTGAGTACGTGAACAGAAAATGTTTACCACTCTTCTCCCTCATAACAACGTTTGCCGGCATCATGGGGACTATTCCAGGCCACCGGGAACTTGCGACGTTAAGCTAAACACCAAAGGATCAAACAAAATTGAGGAAATAAACCCTGGATATTTTTTATTAATGTCATTTATAAACCCTTCCGTCCATGTTTATCCGAATGCGTTCGGGACAGAATGTGATTGAAGTGCTTTGATAGCGTAAACCGGACTTAGTTGAGGTACGGGAGAGAGTAATCCAAGACTTCAGTGGGCCCACAAATGATTTTCAAAGATGGCTCCCCATCCAACTGGTGCTTGCCAGTCTAAACGAGAATGAATGTCCACAATAAAGTGTATGATTATCTCAAAATATATATTATATGTATATAAATGGCGGCCTAATAAACTTCATAGCAAATGAATTAGTCAAACGCAATCACAGAATAACAAACAATCGCGATTATGTGCAATGATAGACCGTATCGCAAAGATGTCTCACTGAAAATTGTTTTGTAAATCCACCCCTGTACGTGTACATGGAGCGTGCTATCTATTTCAACCCCATCTCTCTCTCTCTCTATATATATAGTACAATGGGGCACAATGGGGCACATCGTTAGCTCTTTAGTTATTAAAATGTTCCCGCATGTTTCACGGACAAGCAATATCTTCTTCGGTACTCGCTTTGCACCTAATGTGATTACCCAACGGAAAAACAGCGATGCTTATACAAATTGCACGTGTCACACTGAATAATTCAATCGGCTTCTCCGGTTGAGACATATTCCAGATCAATAACAACAAATCAGTATAGAACAGAAATGAATCTAACTCTCAGTTTGGCAGTACTCGTAGTTATGCTATCGGAATGGTACCCGGTGTCGGCTCTGAAAATCGATCGCAGTGAATAGCAAAAAATAGTGACAAGTTCTCGCTGTGCTATACG